TGATCAGGTCTGAATTTTGAATAGCTAATTACTTTAAATTGATAATTAATTGTTTTTAATGAACAACTAAAGTCTTGTATTAGTTTCCTGATTCAATTCATTTGCGTTATGGTAAGAAATATACAAAACCTCACTTATGCTAAGAGACAGCAGATGCAGGCCTTACGAAGATGGCCAAAGCTAGAGCTGCTACGAATTGTGAGATTGTGCAGAACACAGAACGGGGAGGCAGGGAGACAGGTACAAGGGGTAACATTATACATTCTCAGCTAGTTATCTGATGTGATGAAACCATAGAAACAAAGGAATGTTGCTGTGAAGACTCTCACATCCTCGCCATCCTAATTTGTATATCAGAGATTTTGATCAGTAAAATAACCAATGATTATACTAGTCTAGGAATATTAATAAAGTTATATAATAGGGTGGACCAATCGTTGTAAGTGTCAAAATTAATAGCGGGCATAACATGCATGCTTATGTTAAAATATGTTAAAGATCATGACTTTGCAGAAAAAGGATATAAAAATGTTGAATTTTTGATGTAACTTTGAAGCACGTTAGGAGGAGCTATCCCCCGCGCTTCCCGGCGCTGCAGTAAAAAAGTGCCAGCTTACCTGCAGCTGTGTAGATAAGTTTGTCGTGATTGTGACCCTCCGTCGACACAGTGAGCAGGGACGCCTTTGGTTACAGCAGGTGGGATTACACTGTCTGAAAGCAGTTCACCTTTGCATTGTAAACCTTCGTGGAGATGGTGTGCTTTCCAGAGAGTGCCTTTAGAGCTTGCTAGCTATCATTAGCTAGAAAAATCTGTTAGAGCATAGACAGGTCGCCGTGAAGCCTTTTTCTGGGTGTAGGGCGGCACATGTTGCTAATGCAGACTCTGGTTTCCAAGCTGGCAGAGCACAGGAGACCTTTCTGTTTCAGAATTCGAGACCTGTTCTGCTGTATCTCAGCTAGCAGAGCTGGTGCCTGTCTTGGAAGTGGCTTAAAGCTTTCCCAGTGAGTCTTTTTGTGGAGTGGGATTGTGTGCGGAACTCCTGCCGTTTGTGTTAGATACTGTGTTTGTGTTTTTAAATATATCAATGGCTTGCTATGTTTCGAAGGTGGAAGTGGAAGCATAAGCAATAATGTTAAATAGCCACCTCTTAAGAGTCTCATTAAAAAAATGATTGTAGTGATGAGATTTTGATCAGGTTACCTGCTTTGAAAATTCAGACCAACTTCATGGGTGAGTTTCAAGGTGAAATAGAACAAAAGACGCATAATGTTAGATTCTTAATTTAAAATGGCCTAATAATTCAGCCAGTAGTGTATCAAAAATATTATTGGGTAACTACCATGTTTATTCAGCTCCTATTCATGCGAGAAAGCACTGTGCTTTGGGTGGGGTGAATGCACTTGTTTTTGAGCTAAGGATAAGCATTTAAATATCTTTCTTTCTAATTTAAAAAAAGCTTTACATTTTCCCAAAATTCTGACAAGATTTTTTTTTTTCAAGTGAGATGGTTTTTCTGTGTTTAAATTAGTAGCACTTATTTGAAAGAGCACAGTTCATCAAGTTCCTTATCCTTTTGTCTTCAGCACCAGAAGGGGAAACAAATCCATTTCAAACGCCTTGAGGCTTTTGTTCGAGACTCGTGGCGCAAGCACCGAGATGACACCCGGCTGAGGCGCCTGGAGCAGCGGCCTGGGCAGGCGGCCGTACCCGAGGAGCACAAGCTGGCCTTCGTTGTGCGGATTGCAGAGTGAGGAACCTTTGTTACCCCTTACCTTTGTTCTTGCTACCGTTTGTAGCTGTCATATGATTTCTGAGCAAAGGAAGTGTGATCAACCCAGACACGTCTTGTTGCAGGCAGTCTGAGACCTTTTGTTGCTGTATGAAAGAAAGAGAGTTACTTACAGTGTGTTTTTTCTGACTCAGTATTAAGGGAGTGAGTAAGAGGGTAAGAAGAGCCATTGAGTTGCTGCGGCTGAGAAAAAATTTCACTGGAACATTTGTTAAACTGACTCCTTTATCGCTGAAGATGCTGCAGATTGTGGAACCTTACGTGGCGTGGGGGTAAGTATCAGTCCTGTGACTTGACAGCAGTTTGTATGTAAATATCGTAGCTTTTTGATTCTCCATCTGGTGTCCCAAATCCATAGCTGGCTTTTCCAGTAATGGTCAAAACTTTGTCAGCTTGATATCTAAAACTTGTTATTGTCCCTTTTCTTGTTGTTCTAAACATAATTTGGTTACTTTCCCACCTCTATACAAAGAAGTAGGATGGGACTTGCTGCTGTATCGTGTCTCTCTATTACAGAATTTGGTTTTTCTTTTTGCACAGACACCCTAACCTGAAATCTGTACGAGAGCTCATCCTGAAACGGGGCCAAGCCAAGATTGAGAAAAAGAAGATGCCTCTGACAGACAATATGCTGATAGAGGAACATTTGGGTGAGGAAGAGGATGAGAAAATGGGTCAAGCAAAGAGGCGGATGTTGAGAGTTTATAATCTGACCTAAGAGGGAGGGGAGGGACAAAAATCTTGCAAGAGTTGTATATGGAGGACTGGCAATTCTGGAGTAGGGTGAGGAAAGATAATACAGTTGGGCATCTTGTGTATGTGGTTTGTGGGGGCTTTTTCTTGTTTTGTTGCATTTTTTAATATTTTTTTTTTTCTGCAGGGGACTATGGTATTATTTGCCTGGAAGACCTTATTCATGAAATCTACTCAGCTGGGAAGTATTTCAAAAAAGTCACAAACTTTCTATGGCCATTCCATCTGTCAGTGGCTCGCTACGCTTCACGTAACAAAGTGGGGTTCCTCAAGGAAATGGGGAAGCCTGGCTGCAGAGGCGAAGAAATCAACCAGCTTATACGTCAGCTGAACTAGGCAGGTGAGGAGTGCCTGTTGTGTAACTTCCCAATCTTACCCTTTATCCAGTTTCCTAAGATACTGCCGTCGGAGGTGAGGGGGGCTCCTTTGGTTTTGATTCTTCACTCTACAGCAGTGACCCTCAAAGCAGGGAAAACTATTGAAGAGTGTAGGTCCCATTGGATATCAGCAAATCCTATCAATCAGAGACCTCCATAGAGGCTTGACTTCTGGGAGATTGCATTAGTGTGACTTTTTTTTTCTTCTTTCCTGTTCTGCAGGGTCTTGGTGAAAACTTCAGGATTTATAACCTGTTCCTTTTCACATGTAGTTTTCATGGACATTATCTCTATGCAATGATACATCTCTTGACTGTTGGTGCCTCTATTAAAAAAAATATACAGATGATAACAGAGATGGACTTAGGTCATAAAGAAGAAGAAAAATTCTATGTGGTACAAGAGAGAAGTGACTTCAACTTCCTGGAGCAATCCGACCTGCATCTCTGTAAAACAAGGGGGTTTTACACTCGTTACCGGTCGCCTCCTGATCTCCCCTGTGGTATAAAGCAGTGGGTGTCAGTTCCTGGTTTAAATTTCTGCTACAGCTGACTTGCACTTGCTGCTTTGATCCAGTCCTCCCCAGGGGAAGCGCGTGAACTTGCACTCCTTGAAGCACACCTCCTTCTGGGTGTGAAGGGGTGGTGCAGTCACCTGTGTAAGGATATTGCTCACAGGCTGAAGACACAAGGTGTTCCTCTGTTACTGCAGTGCAAGCCCAAGTAATGAATAATGTAACGATCCTGTTTGTGATTGTATTTATTTTAAAAAGCAGTGGTTCTGTGCTCCTGAGTTACAAAAGGCTGCCTTTTCAATTCTGCTAGATTGGGGCTGCTGGGAAGAACTATTTCCTGGTAGGAAAGCCCAGAAACTTTGTAATACAGTGCTGGAGTATGTCTAATCAATGTTTTTTAAATAAACTTGAAATTACACTGTTATAATAGGAGGAGTCATACATAACTTGTCTAGAGGGGGAAAAGTTAAATACTGCTGGTGAAAGAAACAAACAGAACCATGGGAGAGCCTGAAAGTTCTGTTAACACTTAGTTTTAAATCCCTATTTTCTTCCAGTACAAAAACGTGTGAAGGCGGCAGGAAAAGTCCTAACGAAGGCCCTGTGCTTAATCCTTAGGACACTGACTATTTATACTGCTATTTGAAGACTTAAGTGGGGGCAAACTATTAATCCATGGACAGATTTCATCTGCACTCCACACCACTTGTTTTGAGACTTGGGAAACACTTCAAGTTACAATAGAAGTGGAATGCCTTAAGGGTACTAGTTCTATGACAGTTATAAACTAAGATGTAGTATTCATAAAACCATTTAAAACAGGAAGTGCTACAGACTGAATTAGAGAACACTATACAATTTCAAGCTTTATTCTGTAAAACAAGAATACAAACATATAAAACACCTGACAGACATGAGACGTACACCAGCTTGGAACACCAGCCCCAGAACTGGAGTCTGGCAGTCAATATACAAGGCTTCATCTGTCTGAAGTTTTCCTGATAAACAGCTTTCATTGTAAAGAGGTACACATAACTTCAGAATTGTTCTGTTGATTTATTCTGGGATTGTTTCTGGGAATAACACAGCCCAGGTTTTTAACATGAAGAACTGGCATGTCAGGAGTGAGATTTTTTTTTTAGTGCCAAAGCAAACTTAAGCCTGCTAATAGAATGCAGTTTATAATAGACAATAATAGACAGTCTTAAAATACGAAATGACAGGATCTGAACACAATTCTAGCAATTACCCTAGACTTAGGCAGCATTTCTAGTGAATGGAGTAGTTGAACAGACCCTCGGTTTAGCTCACAGTTAAGAACCGAGCCATCATGGATAGGTTATGTAGGCCTCTTCAAAGGCAATTCCAGCTTCGTCTGGTGTTACACCATGAGTAGTTGAACAGACCCTCGGTTTAGCTCACACAGTTAAGAACCGAGCCATCCTGGATAGGTTATGTAGGCCTCTTTAAAAGCAATTCCAGCTTCGTCTGGTGTTACACCACATTCTCCATCACAGACAAACACGTTGCCTTTTCCCTGCACTGT